GCAAGGGGAGAGGACTGTTGGTCTTGTGCAGGGGTCTAGCGTTAGGGGGGCCCTGTGTGTGTCTGTAATTCAGGGCTCCAGGACTCAGGCTCCTATGGTGGTGTTTTTTTCCAGTGAGGAGAAATAGCAAATTTTAAAGGCTTAGCATAAACCCAACTTGTGCACGCCTCCACGCTGTGAAAAACAGATGGTAACTTCCATCTGCGGTATATCACAGCATTTGTAACTTTGAGGCTTGCTGCCGGGAGGAGTTGAAAAATCAATGTGTTCTTCAGACACCTAAAATGTTATCATTAGCTACTGCATTACGTGTCACATTAATGCCATGAAACGCAGGTAATATTTACACAGACTTCAGGGAACAGGTACAATGCCTTTGCTCAGATCCCTTGCATGTGTGGAGGAGCCAAAGCCAGGCTGCTTCTTCCCCCCTGCGCCCGCAGCCATCAGCTGTGGTCTGTCCATCTGCAAAGCAGGTAGCGATGTGGGAACCTGGCTGGTTTGCAACGCTGAGCACCCCTTTTTAGAGGAGCAGTGTGGGAATGAATCCCTTGGGATTGGGCACTGGGTAGTTCCTGGTGCTAATGTGGCACATATGGGGGAAACGAATATTTAGGAGGCAAGGTTTTTCCTGCCTGCTCCCAACTGAAAATGCAGCACTGCATTGTAGCGCCTGTCACCAGTAAGCGCTGAGCAAAGGGATTTGGATTTGGATCTGAGCATATGGCAGGAGCTGGTGTTGAGTGTTTGGGAAAGGGCCGAGGACGTGTGCCTTGAGTCCTGCTCTCATCCTGGTCTCTCCGGCTCCAGTTCATTCATTGATCCTTTTCCTTTTGATGCTGCTGTCAAAACCCATAGGTATAATCAGGAGAGAAGTGCACCAGCAACATAAATACTATGAAAATACCTTGGACTGAAAAAAAAGAGGGAATGGTGGTTTTTTGGAACAATATTAATTTCTTGGGTTTTAGATGCTGAGGTGTCTCAATTGGCAGAGGAGAGCAGCTGTTATGTGCCTCCACTGTCAGCTTGCTCGCTGCAGTGCCACCTTCTGTCTTGGTTTTGGCATCTCTAATCCCTCCTGCTGTCTGCACTCATATCTGTTCTCTGTCCTCATGAACACCTCACAGTCCAACTTGTCAAACAGAAAAGTGATATTCTTGCATCTTTTTACCAGCCCTGCCAGTCCTCTGATCTCTGACTCAGCCATCGCCTCCCTAGTAGCCTGAGGGTGCCAGCTTTAGTGTGGCCAGGTTTCCCCCATCTTCCTTGCCCCGCTGCTTCCCATCCCGGCCATCTCCAGGGACCAAGCATCTCGGGAGAGTAGGACTTGGGGAAATGCACAGTGGCATTTAAAACACTGGTCAAACAGCCACTTCCCCCACCCTCAGTCCATTTCTCACCTCTGGTGTAACAACAATAACCCTAAATATTATTGGTTTTTTTTTTTTTTTTAAAGGCTTATTGTAAGGTTACAGTGTGTGGGCTGGGATTTCCTTTTCTTGCAAAACAAAGGCAGAGCTGCTTGGGCAGTCTGGCTGATGCTGTGGGATGCTCTCTGGAAGGGATTTGCGGGACAGACCTTGGTCTTTCAACCCAGGGCTATTGGAGGTTGCAGGGACTTGGGGTCAGGTTGGGGTGCTGGCAGCAAGCGCTGTTGGATGCGCTGGTGCCACAGGTGTTTTGGGGCCACCAGAGGGGAGGGAGGTGACCTCGGGGCAGGTGGCCAGTGGGGTAGCGAGTGACCTGTGTTATAAAAAAGCCAGGTATGCACAGCTCAGTGTTTATCCCCTTCTTGCACGGCAGCGCTTGGATGCAAGGCAGCACCAGGTCTTTGGGGGCTGAGTTAAATGCAGGTTTGACGTAAAAAAAAAAACACAACAAAACATAGTAATTGTTGGAGGTGCCTAAAAAAGGTTGACAATGTGAACTCATATCTGGCCAGGGACAAGGGTATAATTTTGTCGCAGGTCGAGAGGAAAATATGTCCCACGGTATCTGCAGCAGGGGTCGGGTAGGGAAGAAGAGAGGAAGCATCTGCCGAAGGTGTGCGCGTGCGTGAGAGTGAGTGGCTTCACGGTGCCTGTCTTGAGACCGAGGGGCTGTGGGCAGAGCAGTGGGGCCAGGGCAGCACTGGGGCCTCCCTGCATGGAGGGCAGGAGGAAGGAGAAAAAAGGTGCTTGTCGCACTCAGCACCCGCGGGGTCCTTGCACAGTCCTCACAAGGCAGACACACATCATCCCCTGGCTGGTAATGATGGGGGGAAAAGGCAGAAGATTTTGGAGGATGAAATTAAGCAGGCATCCACAACAGCAGACTGACGTGTCTGCTTTCACAAGATGCTCTGTTGAGCTGTGGTGGTGTCACAGCATGGGGGATGCTTTCTGGATGCTGTTGTCTGCGGATGATACATCTCAGGCAAATACAGATAATCTGCAGTTTAGAGCCCTGGCTCAAACCTGACCCTGCTCAAGTTTCCTTAAGTCACTTATTTTGCAGCACCAGCGTCTCCTGTGAATCCCTGTAAACCTGCAGCCCTTGCCATGTCCCCTGGGCTGTGTCCCCACCTCTGGAAATGAGAGTCCCTGCACCAAGGAGCCATTGGAGTTGACTGTGGTTTGCCAGGGCTTTACAGCACAGCAGACCAGGAGCAGTTTGCTGCTGAAAGCGAACCATGTTTCACAGGCTTCTCCTGCCACAGCAGCTCCCTAGAGCGGGGCTCTGCTGCCTGAAGGCCTCTTTCTTCTACCCAGGGCAGCAGAAACACCTCCTCCCACTGCAGGAGGACATGCAAATGCTCCTCGCAGAGCTTCAATGCTGTCATTTACACTTTCCCCCCAATAAAACACCCACAGGCACCCTCCTCCTGCCCCCTTGCCCTGTAGCCGTGCCCATCATCTGCGGCTTGGCTGTGGGAAGAACCCAGCTTGCAGAGCAGAGACTCATTGCTTGCTTCAAAGCAGCCTATTTGCACTTGCGGCGTGTTTTTATTAGCAGAGAGGGGGTGCTGCGGACACGGAGGATTTAGCAACAGCCAAATACAGGCAAGGAAGTCGCCTTCCTTCTGCCCAGGCTGAGGCAGAGGGAAAAGCTGGGTGTACGGCTGGGGCGTGCTGGTCCTGTCCTAATCCGCACGGGCAGAGAGGTGCGGTTGCACTGTGTCAGGGTGTGTGCATGTGTGCACACGTGGAGGTTTGCAAATTCCCTCTCGTATTATCTGTGAGTGAGTAGGCGCAATCTGTGCTGCTGGCTTACTGCGTTGTTTGGAGTAGATAATCCATGCTACACCAAGAAACCCTGGGGTATATGTGGTGCGTGTATATGTATTCATATATATAATTGCATTTACATGCCCATGCATATACACGCCCACACACATGTGTAACTGTTGTTGCCTGTGTTTTCCAGAGCAGAGGTGTCATCCCCTGGCCAGCAGCTGGAAGAAGCACTGGGGGTGCTACACTCCCTCTGTGCAGGGGGTGGGATCCTCCCTGCGCACCTCCATTTAGTATTTCCCTTCCCCCTTGCACAAGTGCATGTGTGGACATTAAAATAGACATGTCCTCTCCTTCTAGCATGGTGTTTTGTGCTCCTGCCCCAAAGCGCAGGGGAAGGCTGAGTCCCAGCAGGGGAATGGTCCCACATGGGTTTCAGCGCCCTGGCCCATGGCACGGGGCAAACACCACTCTCAAGTGCACGCGTTAGGAGGATGCCATCCCCGGGATGGGGTCTGGTGCTCCGTGTGGGTGACGCTGTAGTTATTTGTGTGTGTCACGGCGGGAAGTGTGTGAACGGAATAAATTTAGCAGTCAAAACACAGGGCCAGCGCAGTCGGTCATTAACTGCGAGCCCGTCTCGTCATCCTGCAACCACAAGGAGCTTTTTTAGGGTCAACGTCCTGGCGGAGGCCGGAGGAAGCGTGGGAAGCCAGTTCCCGGTGACACCTCCGCGCGTGGTAGCGCTGCCCGCCGGTGCCATTGGCTGCCCCCTGCCCGGGGCTGGCGCCAGCCAGCAGTTAAATGCCCGCACAGCCACACCGAGGCACACAGCCGGGGGCATCCCAAGACAGGCAGCCAGCTCTTCCCATCCTGAGCACCGGAGGAGACACCGGCTTGCATCACTCCTCAAGGTAAAGGTTTTGGTTTCTTTGGGTTGCTTTGGCATTGCCTGGAGTGAAAATGGCAATGTTTGGGGACAGGGGTTGTAGATTTCCTTGCAGGTTTTGGTAGAAAGCAGGAGAGACTTGTAAGCTGGGATGTAGGTGTTTCTTTGTAAGGGAAGAAACCAGGAGTGTTGCTCTTTGCTCCAGTGTGTTTTGGGTGCAGGGTGATGTGCAGTGTGGTTAGCGTGCCCTGTGGGGATGCGGTGCTGGGCTGCTTACGGGACTTGGAAAATGAGAGCAGAGCTGGAGGAAAGCCCCCCCGCTGCTTCACCTGCCTGTGCAGGCAGCAGTGCCAGTGGAATGCCAGACTGATCCAGCGGCCACTAGGGCTGCAGCTGTCCGTGGGGTTATTTTACTGGGGTGCTCCACTTTGGGGCGGTGCGAGGTTTTACAGGGCTGTAGGGACCATGCCAGGTGGGAGGCGCAGCTCTGCAGCCCGTGGTCTCACGGTGCTGCCCATCTGCATTGCTGGCTCTCGTCACGGCCACTGAGCTTGGCTGGGTGGTGGGTGACATTACCGTGGGAACAGAGAATTCAGAGGAGGTTTCCCACTCTTTAACGATGCTTAGACAAAAAATCTGCAAGAACATGGTCAAGTATTTCAAATCCCAAACTAAAGGGAAGTTCCTGCACAGGAGATGCCAGGAGGTGGCACAAGGACAAATTCCTCGGCTTGTTTGGTGGTATGCCAGGCTGAGCACCATGTGCCAGGACAGCAAGGCTTTATCAGTTGGAAGGGCTTTGTGGGGCCAAGTTACAGCCAGGGGCACATGCAAATGCTTTGCTCTAGTGTGCAAATACTTCGCTCCCTGTTGCAGCTGCAGGGACCACAACCAACATGAGGGCTGCCTTCCTGGTGCTGCTCCTCTGGGCCGTAGCCTGCACTCACCCTGTAAGTACCCATGGGACAGGTACTCAAACCCCAAACCCCGGTGGTTTCACCCAGCCAAGGCACACCAATCACTGATCAGATGTCTCCTGGGTATGTTTAGGTGCCCAGCCGTGAGCCTGCCCGCCCCCGCCGCAGCGCCCAACAGGAGGTAAGCCGGGGGGTGCCCACCGCTCGCGGAGCAAGTCTGGGATGGGGTGCCAGCCCCGGGCAGGCGTCCTTGGACCAGGCACCTGGGGGAAGAGCTGTCACTTCTGCGGGTCTTTGAGCTTTGCCCGTCTCCTCAGTCTTTTCAAGTTGGGTTGGTTTCACCTCATTTCGCGTTGCCTCCCTGTGCACGTTCCCAGTTCACCTGATGCATTCTGCTGTGTTGGTCCTGAAAAAGGAGTTTCTGTGCCCTGAACCATCACGGTTTAGGCTTTTCTGGGTTGCCCTTTTGTCGGTGGCTACTTTTTTTTGCATCAGCAGAAACAATTGAAGGGCTGAGGTGCGAGCAGTGAAAAAGGCTTGACCACTTGCATGGCTTAAGAGTGATACATCATCCCGCAGCAGTAGCAGTAAACGTGCAGTGGTGTTTAATAAACCAAAGCACCATGTCATGTTTTGCCCCCAGGACACAGCAAGCGAAAATTACATCAACAAGCTGGGCAACCTCCCGGGTGGTGGAGATGGCAGACATCCTCCTGCCGGTGTGGAGAGGGGGGACAATGCCCTTGCTGGGGAGCTGGCGGGTGGGAACGCCGTGGGCGAGGAGCTGGGTGAGCACGGTGGCCGAGACAAGGAAGGCAGAGCTGGGGAGGCTCAGCACCTGAACCGGGTGGACCACGAGGACACAAATGCCCGGAATGGGAACAGCCTTGGTTTCCTGGTGAGTGAGTGGAGAGGGGTGTTTTGCTCTGCCAGGGAAGTGCACTTAGCCCCAAATCTGGTGTCAGTCAGGGTAGCGCTTGGCCTGTGCAGCGAGCAGTGCCGATAGCGCCTGTGATCTGCAAGCCTTTGCATTCGTCTCCATTTGTCACCTCCATAGGAGGAGGATGCACGCAATGCTGATGACGGTGACAACGGAGAGCGCTACGGCACTGGAGTCAATGGGCTTCCCTCCCGCGCTGGTGGGCTCCTGGATGAGGAGGACGACAGTGGGGATGACACCTTCGACAAGAATGGGGAAGAGGAGCGGGGTGAAAGTCCTACTTACATGACTGGTGCCGACAGGGCAGGCGAACATGGCCATGATGTTGGCCGTGGGGATGCCGGGGCTGGCAGGGGACAGGGTGACAGCA